TCTACAATAGCATCCAATAAAGAGCTACTATTCCCCACTTCTTTCTGAATAAACTAAATATATTTCTAATTGTATACATTTATATTGTATATCTATAATGCATGCCAAAGGTTAAGCAACATTAACAAAGCACATTTCTAAATTTTCTTAAAGCTACTGTAAATGAGAGCTGAACTAATTATTTACTTGTTTTTCAGCAGTGACTACTATTTTTTGAAGCTTTATCTCTGAAATAATAGTAATATATTTCAGACCACCAGCAGCAGAGGTGAGCAAAGGAGGTCAGTCTTACATAAACAGTGTTGCAGTGTGGTATCACAATCTTTGCATGTTTTCTACATGAAATGAGATGTCATATGTACACAAAGCTCGTGCACAATGATTTGCAGCCAGACCACCATTTGAAACACAATGTTTGTCAATATTGTACTCTAACCTCCAAATTTAATTTTTCTGTCAATAATATTGATTTTAAAGGATTTTCTTTTAAAAAAACACATACTCTATAGCCACCACCATTTGAAACACAAACACAATATTTGTCAGTATTGTATTCTAACCTCCAAATTTAATTTTTCTGTCAATAATATTGATTTTGAAAGGTTTTTTTTAAAAACACATACTGTATGATTTATCAATAGTCACATAGAGTAGCATTTGAGATTTTTTTTGGCCTATTCAAAAAATATTTTGAACAGTTCCTTTCCTACAACAAACAGCATTTTTTTTAACAGAACTTTAATAAATGGTCCTTCCTAATGCAAGTTATAGTAAAACAATTTTATACATGCTAGAAAAGGTTCCTTTAAAGGATACTGTATTTGAGTTCACAAAATAAAGGGCTGTGAAGGGGGGGGTTCTTGCTTTATACTCTTCTATCCAGATTAAGTATTCCTCATTCACCTTAGTAATTAGAGCAGAAGGATATAGTGAATGTGAGGCCTCATTATCAAGTTTGTAGCCCTGATCTATACAAAATGGCTACCATACCAGCTATTTTTCATAGTTGTCTGCTTTTGCTTGTATTGGACTGTTGTTAACCCTAAATGATCCTGACATTCAATTCTTCCACAGACAATTGGGTCCCTCCAGCAGACTTCATTACCTAGTCAACAGAGACCTCAATTATCATCTTCCTCTCTGTTCCCATTAATCCTTATTTGATGGAGTTCCATCTCCTTTTGCCTTTTGAATTAAATGATGCTACAGCTACTCTGCTTCTGATTTGTGATGTCTGTTCCTTAAAAGGCTCGAAGGCAAAACTCAAATACAAGATGATAGTTGCATGCTATTCAGTGTGCAAACACATCTATACATAATAGACTCATGATTTCTTATGGAAAATGGGTTGATTATATATATCACAGTGATGTTGATTTTTGGAAAAGTGGGACATAAATTAACATTAGCAGTTAAATAGGAAATCCCATATCCGAGCTGCTTTACTTAATCCTCTTGTCTTAATACACGGTTTTTAAGCAATAATTCTATTTAACTCTTTCCACTCCAGCAAGATCTAATAGAGCTTGTCATTTAGAATATTGTAACGCACTGAACAAACATTGAATTTTAATTCACCCCATTGAAACTGAACTTAAGTTCTACCTTCTGGGAAATGTTTAGCCATTATTCTTTCAACCTAAAATGTTTAGCCATTATTCTTTCAACCTAGTACTATCACAAATGTGCACTCCAAAGTATGTTTTTCTCTATTCATTAAGTTAATTCTCAGGTCAGTGAGTACCTAACCACATGATGGATGATCACCCTCACCATGCTCTGGAACAGTTTTTTAATAACTGTGAGTAAATTAAATTAATATTCAATAATTCACAATTTTATTTTACTACATAGGTTAAATACGTAAGTGGTAGCTAGGATTATGTCTGCTATGAGAGAACAGACAAGTATTTAGAGGAATAGAGTTCCTATTTAAACATTTTGATAAACCTTATATTAAAGGGGTGATAGGACAGTGCACAAGTGGTAAGGATAAAGTTGAATTTGGCAGATGTTACACCTGAAATCTTACAAAATAAAGGACTATTTCTAGATCATATGACAGTCACTTGTCATGCAGACTTTTCTAAAGGAAAGAAAGCAGTTAATTAGAATCCTTTTCAAAGAACATAAACTCTCCCACACTGATGTTGTGGTGAAACTGCTTTTCTGGAAAATGTACTCCATTATATTAGAACCTTTTACAGAAACGTACATTACTTCATATTATTGAAGTAGCATAGATACAATATGAAATTTCATACTGAAAGTGTTGCATCATCTGAAAGGATGGGCTTCTTTCTTTTGCTAGTCTAGTATTTAAGAAAAAAGGCATAAAAATAAGGCAGGGAGTTTTTGTGAACGCTAACCTTTACTCATGTTCAGAGAAAAGAGGCCTGTTATTATAATAATAATGACCACTTTGGGCATTGAGAATGATTTGCATGCTGTCTTGTTCTACAAATATCTTTGCATAGAGTAACAGAGACAGACAGGTATTAATTCAAATGAAAAGCTATAAAGGATTCTAACTCCATGAGTTGGGTGGGAAGATGAATGCAAATAAAACCCCCACTATTGTTATAGTGACAATAGCCACGCCATTTTAAAAAGTATGTTTTCAGCTCCATAAATCTTCATGTAGGGGCTTTTATCTGATTTCACTCCTTAATTGTTATTTGGAACAGTGCCTTAAAGGATATTGTTCTTGCCTGTCCTCTCTAAATTTGGAAAGTGTGGCAAAGCAGCTCTATTCAGCTTCAAAACACTGTACATAATTGGAGCCCTAGTTTGCAAGCTGAAAAGGAGGAGCTGTGCCTTTGATTACAGCTACCACTTCTTTGTGGTGTTTATGTGAAGTGTTATTTTTATCTTCCATGTCCATAATATCAGATTAATAGTTAACGATGCCATCCAAACAAACATCAAAAAGTTGGCTACTTCTCAGCGATGCCCAATATATAGCATGTTGCATGTTTAAATTAAATGCTTTAAGGAAAATTTTTAAAAGGCAAATGCCAAATGTCAGAAATATAGCATTCTTCCAGTGAACTGAGGAAGCAAGTAATGGCAATTTTATTCTTCTAAATTTTTTGTGAAGAAATGTTAATTCTCATTATTTACAGTTTAAAAATGTACTGTAGATGTAGATCAACTGCATTTTTTGTTTCAGTCTAGTTCTGGGATTGAAAGAGCTCTAATTATCTTAATAAGTGACCTCCACATGAAGATGGACAATGGAATACAATCATGAGAATTCTTCTGAACTACCCAGAAGTGGTGATAATATAAAGAAAATAAATGTCAACAGGATTAGTAGGTTATATTTTTTATGGCATCTTTGACTTTTCATTATGATAGTTGTTCCATGAAACTAGGGTCAGGAGATGCTACTACTCCACTTTGTAATCTTAAACTCATAAGGTCTACTTTAGCTATGTATTATTATCTTATCCCCTATGCTCTCCAAAATCTTTATGAAGAGATCTCCCAAAAAAATAAAGTTGTTGATCATATCCACAGTTCTCTTATTTCTATCCTGACATGAAACTTATGGACCAATAACACTACTGATTAAGTAGTTTTGCTGTTCTAGACAAAGATGTTTTGGGTCTTCATCATCTACATCAGGGGTCTTCAAACTTGGCCCTTTTATGACTTGTGGACTTCAACTCCCAGAATTCCTCAGCCAGCGTGCCTAGCTGAGGAATTCTGGGAGTTGAAGTCCACAAGTCATAAAAGGGCCAAGTTTGAAGACCCCTGATCTACATCCTAGCCTGATGAAACAGAACAGCACGTTCTTCATGACTTCTTCTGAGGTTATACCTAGACTGACCTATTATCTTCTTACACAATTAAAACATGCTTTTTAAAACACATATATTTTATTTCATAGGGAGCTACTAATAAGCAGTGTCATTTAACATTTGCTGTGAAACAAATAAATTAGAATGAGTACCAGTATTAAAGGTAAGACAGCGTATTAATTGATACTTGGAAGGGCTATCTGCCTGGTAAATTTGACCCTTTGTATCACAGGGCTTCTCTCTTTTTTCCTTCCTTCCTTGACCACTTACCTCTTCTCCATAGTTCATACATTTTCTTCATGGGAGGGAGAAAGGGAGAGAAGAAATGCATTTGTATGCAGTGTGTTTCTGTATACAACAATAGTTTGTGTGTGATAATAGCTTATACAGTATATGGAGATGGGTTATTTTTTATTAGGAAACTTCATTTATAGGCACTTTGTTTAGCTATTTTTAATCCAATTAATACACATTCATGTAATATTCAATATACATTGTTTAGTCCTGATGGGGTTTTTAGTATGGTTTTTGGCAGGTAGATTCACAATATACAGGTATGCCATTCATTTGCAGTTAAGTTACACATTTATTAAGGATGAGGAATTGCATGAGATTGCTGTGTGTGTATGTGTGTGATGCAATTCCTCATTCTTAACCTATAAATGGTGCATGTACCATTATTGCAAATGAACGTGCATACATATATACATACATATATACATGCATACATACAGTACGTCAACCCTGAGATGGGTGGTATATAAAACTAATAAATAAAATATATATTCCTGTCTGCACTTCTTTTGTGGAATGGGGATTGTTTTAAATTCAGGGTTGTCTTCATTTCAGGTAAATAGGTATTCAATATTTTTACGTTTTATGCCTGTTCAACATGAGAGATGATTGTATAATATTTGAAATTTAATCCTGCGCATCTGGGTGTTATTTTGCACATCAGTGGTCAACTTGGTTATTCTCACTTCTTTTTTTTTTAATGGAATCAAATGCCATGACTACTAAAAAAGGAGTTTCTAATTTTATGTTATTTATTGCCTCAGAAAGGAAGAGGGCAGAATTTCCTAACATGGTATAAATAATGTGAGCATCAGTAGTCAACATATATACACAAGAGAATAATAAATAAAGTTACCGGAAATCATCACTAATGCACCATTCACAATTTAATGCTTTTTAATTTGAAAACAGTTACACCTGAACACAAACATGTGCTGCCTAAAAACATATCTCACTCATATACAGATGTCAAATTATTTTTCTAAAGAGTAGAAAAAAACAGTCAAGGGGGCTTTAAAAGCAGAAAAAAATGCCTTTACAAATTTATAACATGAATTTTGCAAATTCGTTCACATTAAAAATATATATCAAAATATATATCAATTTTATTACTTTTTAAAAGTTAACATACAAAAAGTTACCAACTCTTGGTAGAGATACATACTCCCTTTTACAATATAGTTTTCTTATAATTCGTTCTCTTCAAAAACTTCAGTATGAGAGGCTGTTGCAGTGGCTAATCTTATTTAAGTGTATAGCAGGAATAATAAAATCACACATTGAGCTGATTATTTTAAAATTAAACTCCATCACAATCAGATACAAGCATTTGATATTGCATTCTTTTATGAACAGTGTATCAAAACAAGACTTTCTAGAATATAGTGTTTCTATCGCAATTAAGCTGGTTGATTTTTATTCATAGACTATAAGGAATTTTAAGCTCATGTCTTTACCCATCATGGTATTCTTCAATTTTTAGCAAACTGGACTGCTTTGTTTCAGTGACCTGAAGAGCTTCAATAAAATTCTGGAAATTTCATTACTTTAGACAGCAAATTTGTTTAAACTCAGCCATTATTAAAATTTTAACTCAGGTTAAGTTTTACTGGAATTTTCAGAACATATTTTTCTTCTTAGTTCCTTGGCCTCCCCACATCATGATAACTCTAAATTGGCTTAGAATAAATCTATATATTGAACAATATTTCAAGTTTTCAAATATATGGGATTATCATTCCAAAACGAGCAATAATTCCATTATTTTCCATGTACTTTTAAGCCATGAAACTCACAGCCACGAACATGATGGGCACTATACTGCTGGATAATTCAACAGGAAGCCATCATCTGATGTTCCCTTTCTACTAGTGCTTTTCACCATCCCTTTCTTTCTTTTCTTCCTGTTTTTCTTAGGCTCATCCTCAACATCATTGAATGGGATGCGATCATTTGCCTTATATTCTTGTTCCTCTGTATCCACGCCCTTCTGTGTTTGTCCACAGGTAATTCTGTAAGAAATATAGGATAATAGGTGCAGTTGGGGATTTAAAGTCCCAAGCAGTTAAACTAGATTCCTTATCCAATTACTGACCTGTTCCATTCATACCCATTACTACTAAAGACTGATCTTCTGACGCTGGAACACACCAAGGCAAAGGCAGAAAAACACGTGTCTAAAGCTGACCATGAATTTTATAGAAAACCGAGGCCCGTTCTCAGTTTCTGCTCTCTGAAAGAACATCTGATACAAACAGATTGGCATTTTCATATGTAGTTCTGGATTGCTTGCCAAATTCCCCACAACAGGTAATAGATGGATAATAGAATTTAACCTTGGTTGTGTACTATTATGATATGCAGGCCCCTGTTTTTTCAGCATTATTACATGATGGATAAAAAGAAAAAAAGCTTGGAAAACAGGGCATCAGTGAATATCTCTAGAAAAGCATTTATAACTCAGGCAAAATGAGAAGTGTGTGTAAGTGCCATTTACTGTACATACTTTCCCCCCATACTTTTCCGTAAAGCAAATGGATATGTTATCCTGCCTGGATTACTGACTATTTTGTTTTACTTTCTTTTGGCTTCAACTCATAACATTGATCCTATATAAAATATCAGCCTGATCATGCAATTACATGCCATAGTCTATTTTCCACCTAATGCATCTAACAAAATAGCTAGATCCATTAGGAGCCAACAGAAGAAAGGAAAAACAGAAGCATGGCTTTTCAGCAATCATGGTGCCACAAGACAATGTACCTTACTGTAATATCTTTGGAATATAAACAACTACTGTAACGCAACACATTTATTGCAGTTTTATAGTTCCTCAGCAATTTCTCCCAGGTCTTTTCAAGATAATTTATACCAATTTAGTTCCTTATTTCTGGATGACTGCAATGAGAAACACCATGATTTTCAGCTTCTTCCAAGCCATTTAACAATCTATTGTTGTACTACTGGTGCCTTACTGTTCAGCCAGGTAGTCTGTGTCATTCACTGAATTAAATCTTTGGTCTCCCAACTTGCTAGTATCTGCTAGCATCTGCAAGAGGAAAACTTGAATCAGTAAAGAAGGGAGGGAGGGTGGGAGAAAATAGAGCCAACACGTGTGTTATGACAAACCCACGGGCTTCCTGAATGAGGAGAGAATATACCTCACTTTATATGTAAGGCCTGTCACCCAAGAAATTCTCACAATATGTGGTTTAAAACAAGGAAACAGTCCTCTGCTTTAAAACCCTTTGAAATGTTCAGGTGTGCTTAGAAAAAAAAATCACACTCAAAAGTATTAATCTAAGTCTGGATGAGACTTAAATAGAGATTACCAATACCATTGGAAACCAGATATAAGAAAACAACAATATTTTTGAGGGAAGAGATGTATGATTTAAAAGTTATTGGCTATTTAAAATATTATGTGCGGTGTCCTTTTAGGCACCTAAATATGCTTTTAGATGTGACAAAAGATGCTACTTGCAATTCTTGGTTATTATTTATAGTGAAAAATCAGCCTGTGGTAAGAGTAGTTTAGGAAAACATATTAATGCCACTCAAACTTTCAAAAATTCTTCTTTAGAGAACTTTCTGGATATACTAGTCTTTTGTTTATATTTATTAGAAAGGCAGAAAATAAATGGTCTTAAACAACAGCTCTCTATAAATATCTAAAGAAGAAAAAAACAGTTTTAAATGATTTCATTCCATTAGTTTATCTGGCAGAAAATAAACAACTATAGTTCAATGAATCTAATGTTGGGCTTAAGAGATCTTGGTTCATATAATGACAAGAAAAGAATCATAGTAAGACACAATTGCCATGAATATTTTTGACATTTAGCTTGCATTTCTAAGATAAGATCATTCTCTCCATCTCCTGGTTAGAACAAAAGTCTTTATCGTATGCAACATAAAAAGGATTCTAGAAAGAAATGGCAAAATGCTGCCCACACTATGTAAAAATGTTATTTTCCAAAACACTCTTGTCTTTTACTTTTTTTTTTTTTTAACAATCCAGAGTATGCTCCTTTAGGTGCACCCAAGGGACTTTTCTATTTGGGTGTTTTTCTTAAATAGCAGTTTCTCATGTGATATTCTAACTGCTTCATGAACTCCTCCAGGTTTCATAAACTCCTCCAGGTTTCAAAATGTCCTTAAACTAACATATTAGAGGGCATTATGGATTGTGACCATAATATTTCACTTCTATATTCATAGTTAGCCAGATCAACAATTCAGTCTAACTACAATAAATTATTGTACACTTTATTGAAAGTATGGAATTCAAATAATATATGACATTACCAACTACACGGATTCTTTAGTATTGTTTTGAAGGAGCTCATGTGAGACTATTAATGTAAAATCTTTTAATTCACATATGCATATATATATATTTTCCATTCTTCTTAATTGAGATTTTTTCCATTTTACTTACTGAGGTTGTTCCAGTAAACTTAGTTTTATCTAGCATAAAGGATCTGTTTAATTTTTTTAACTGTTGCTTGTTTGTGTACTTACAAGTACATAATACATTTACTATTACCACTACTGTTGCATTACATCATAATCTAGGGGTTAGAACAATAAAATAAATTACTACTACAACTACTACAGAGCAAGTTTGATGTAGTGGTTAAGACACCAGGCTAGAGACTGGAGACTGAATTCTAGTCTTGGCCTACTCACAAATCCAGCTGGGTGACCTTTGGTCAGTCACTTTTTCTCAGCCCATGTAAGGAGGCAATGGCAAACCACTCCTAAAAAATCTTCTCAAGAAAACTGCAGGGATTTGTCAAAGCAGTCTCAAAGAATAGGACACAATTGAATGGGGGGAAAAAAGAACTGCTGTAGTATATATAGTATGTGTGTGACTGTCACTTTATTTTGGATGCTTTAATTTTAACTGATAGTACCTGGAGAGAGATACGGGCACAGAAAAGAGTAGTAAAATAGCTTTTAAAAATAAATATATATTTTACCATTCCAGAGATTTTGGAATCAGTGGGAGGATTAAAACAAATATGCCCTCACTTCAACAATGTTGCCATCTAGTCATTTAGGAAGACAAAGCCCAAGTCAAACAAACAGATGATTCCCTTTCAAGCTAAATCAGAAGAAGGTTAGAAACTGTCCCATCCCATCTGTGGGGGCAGCTTTTATTTCCTTCTTTAGAAATTATATTGGTTAAATTTCATTTAATGCGTAGAACTATTCTGATTCAGCCTTACCAACTAATTGGCAATTTCAGAGAGATGGTGATGCTCAGTTTGCTAAACTAAAATTACTGCAATGTTAAGTCACGATGGCTGAAGCAATATAGCCATTTTTAAAAAATTATTCCTGAGAGCGTGTGCATTTTAGTCATTTCAGTCAGAGAAAATGAATTGCTATTTGGATTTTATAGAAGTAGCCCGTTAAATTAAAATTAGCAGATTTATTTTTTAAAAAACAGGATTATGTCTTTTCCTGTTGTAAGGATTATTAAAAATTTGGTTACTTTCCCTCCCTCCCAAATGTTAAGAGTCTCTTGGTCTTTTAGCTGCACGTAGTAACTGCCTTATAATCCACAATGGAGAAGACAGTAACTGCATGGTAGTCTGACTTGTGGCCAAATATTATGAAGAAAACATAGAATCTTCATATTATCTTTTATGGCATGTTTATTAAATAACCAAGCCATATAATTTGTAATGATAATTAAAGTCAGTTAAATGTCAACTCTTCTTTTTCTATCATGTGGAAGGTTTTCCAACATATATGGAATGTACTTTGTGAACATAATAACTTCTGGGCTTGTATTCCTGGAGAATGGCTGAATCCAAGCAAGTCCATACATTAAAATTAACACACACTACATGCACTTGGTAATTAACCTGTTACCACAAGAAATGGAAAATACAATCCCATCTTGTGAGGTATGGCTCATGCCTTTCTCCCAAATAGTTACCTCAGGCACAGCTGGTGATGTTACTTTTACAAATTCATTGGATTCAAGAATAGATTCTTCTGCTAATACTTTAGATTGCTGTTGTTCATATTGTGCTGAAAAAGAACCATAACCTGTTTAATACAAATGGTTATTTATTTGATAATTTTTAAATTGGTTCCTCCACTATTTCAGAATATTTTTAAATGTGTTATTTAATACAGAATACCTTTATCAATAACTCAACTACTGATTTATTTGATACTCCAAGAGATATGTTGGATGGCTGGATGTTTGTGTATGTGTATAGATGATATACAAAATGTTCACTATCTCTGTACACAACTCAGGATCAATATTGAAATATTTGAAAGGGAAACTGCAAAATATGATGAAAATGAATCGCCTTGGCTCCTGGCTGTGAACTTATTATAGGTTTTCAGATATATATATAGCATCCTTCTGTTGGGAAACTTTCCATAGGAGACAATTGAAAAAACTGATGTTTATGACTGTCACTTACTACAAATTTATAAATGTATATTTCATAGGTGGACTTTTGCATAGGGTGCCCTCTGCTGTGGAAATTAATTCTAACATCAGTGGGCACAATTCTCAATGATACAAGGCCTCTGGCAAGGGAAGACATGGGCAGACTGAAGATTGTAGAGAGACAGACTGCTGTCTGCACGTGTGATCAACTTGCTTGCTCACATTTGGTTAAAAATAAAATGTTCTAATATTGTAGAGATTAAGAAGCTAGTTTTTGTGGTCGGAGACAGTTGCTGTCCTGTTTTCTGCATATCTTTGTGCTCCTTCCCGTGATGAAGAAAGACAATAAATTATGCAATCAATGAAAGTACATATTAAATTGCTTAAATTAAATTTATCATATAAAATATTTATATAATTAAACTATTGATTTAATTAACATAAATGAGAAGAATAAAAATATGGTTGCTTTGGTTTTAGATAGCAAATACACCTCAAAGCTAAGTGTAGTTTTCAGAGTATCATACAGGGCCACAGAGTCAAATTATTTTCTGTTATGGAAGGGGGAAAAAGACGAAGCTCTCCACTGAAGGTGCTTGAGATCTTTGATTCTTTTTTAAACAAGCAGATTATATATGCTGTCTCCAGGTTTTAGACAAAATCAATACTCATAGGGGTACATGCTTTCCATGAGCAGTTTCAATTAGAAGGAACACAGAATGAACCCTCAGCTAGAAGGAATAAATCAAGGTGGTGTTATCTAGTTCACTGTAGTGTATTCCTTTTTCTTGGTCAATATATTTTACTTTCAGATTATTGATACATTTAGTTCTACTTTAGTTTTGATATGTAACATGTATTGCAATGCATTAAGTCATAGAATAGCAGATTTCAGATACTTGATTTAAGCCCCCACAGGTATCACATACTAGGCAAAATCATTATACATACTTTCTCCAACCACATAACTGGCTGGAAAATAGCCTTGCTGTCCATTCGCCAGACTGCCAAACCACCAGTTATCATTATCTTTGTACAACACTTGGATAATGTCATTGCAGTGGATGGTTAACTCATCTGATCGATGTGCTGTGTAGTCATAAAGAGCCACTACCTAAAAGAGAGATAACACCACCACAGCTTTATCACAACTCTACCACAGAAACAAAAGGGCAACATTCATTTCCTCTAATAGAGAAGTTGTTGCAACTCAAGTGAGACTTGGGCAAAAACTCAGTCTGTCTCAGGTTTTAGGGCTGGTGGGAACGCAGCAGGAGAAGCCAGATAAAGGGGTTGTGGGATTCTAGAAAGAGTTAAGAACATTAAAGGCAGTAAGATTAGCTTTCATGAAAAGGAAAAAAAAACCTCTCTGAAACTGCAGCAGCTGTTAGTTTTATAAGCAAATAAAGTTTGATAGATTTTTTTTTGTTTCTTAGAATTGTTAACAGCCCTTTCAGAACCTGCTTTATTTGTGAGCTGGCTGTTATGGAAGTACACAATGAAAGAAGATACTGGCAAGAAAATCCCATGAAATTCATGAACTGCTAAGCTGTAATGAATTTCTGCATCGATTCATTTTGAATGTGCCTTTACAGCAGATCATTTTCTGTACAATGGATCTTTTTATTCCACACTATTGGCCTTCCAATACTCTACTATTTTAGGGGATCTATTCTGCACTGTGTAGACTACTATCCCCCTCTTATGCATATCCACTGCAGAACCTACCTGTCATTTTCCCCTGACAATAATTTATCACTCCCTTCCCTTTTTTTAAAATAGATAAATTATTAAAAGAATTATGGTGAAATACTGCTTCATCACACTCAAGTGAACAGAGTTCCTTCACAGAAGATATGCTTAGGATGGAAACATTATGTATGGCTTACTTGTCTTCTAAAAAAAATTGAAAGAGCACGTAAAGTTTCCTGAACTGCACTTTGGGTCCTTTCTGCTCTTTCATGCCCGGTATTGATTTTTGGTGCTGCCCACTGGCTTGTGGCCGAAGAAAAGTAGTCACACAGTGAGTGGGGAAATGAAAGCACACTATCCAAAATATTGGATTCTCATTCAGCCAAGCTATCATTTATTTAATAAAAGTTTACTGCATGACTACAAATGGCTGGATTTGCCCTAAGGAAAACTATGGTTTATAATTTTATATTCTGAATGTATAAACTGTCTGTTGTTATATGGAGTTGTTTTTTTTAAAAAAATGGATTGTGTGCTTATGCTGTATGCTGCCCAATAAGCCACCTAGAGTTGCACTTATAAATCTTAAAAATAAATAAACAAGTAAGGCAAAGTATACACAATAAACCAAAACTAAGCAAACCATATTAGCATTCAGAGTGGTATATGAAGTATTCTCACAATATTCTTCAGTTATAGCTTGCATGATAAAATGAAATTAATGATGGAGTGGCTGACCATGTGATGTTTACTAATACTTTCAAAGGACAGGCCCCAGTAATTCAGGAAATTACCTTAAACCAGGAAGACTAATTCTTCTTTTGCAATTATCTTATCTTATCTTATCTTATCTTTATTATATTATTTGTATTATATTAATTATATTATATTATTATGTTATATATTATATGCCACCCATTTCACCAAAGGTGACTCTAGATGGCTTACTTTTCTATCAAATTCATGAGCAGGGAATTCTTCAACATTCTGATTAATCCTCAACCTTCTAATAAGAAAGACCAGGGACTCAGTGTTCATTCTACATTTAGGCTAAATGACCAGAACGTGAACTATTTTTAAAATACATTCAATATCTAAGATGTTATGAATTATTGGTAAAAAGAACAATGAACAATTGATCCTAATTAACTTTAAATGGATAAATCATTGGTGCTCTGTGAGCTTATTGGTTTGCTTGCATCTAGATGCTCCATTACCAGACATTACCATTGATGAAGATGTTACCTAGGTGGGTAATTAAACATCTGCAAGCAAACCACCAAACTCAGAGAGCACCAAGGACTCCACAGTTCAACTCTGAGCATCATATATTCTCTTCTATTGTAAGTGTAAATAATTCAGAAAAATTAGATTTTAACAAAATAAGTATTAAATGATGATTTCTAATGTAATATCATATATAATTTACTTACAGAGCATACTTGTTACTTTAGAAATTGATTATAATTACTTAAAGCAATTGCAAATATTGTATACTGTATATATTCATGAATGTTTGCATCTCTTAGTGCCTTCAGGTATCTTAGCTCAATTTAAACAAGCACTAATTAAAGTTTTGATTTTTTTTTAAAAAAAGGTAGCCACAATCTTAAACTAATGTGTATGGTTTTCTTTATTAAGCCACTCCCAGCAAGTCACATCTGTCTGAGAAGCAACTAAAATAAACAAGCAATCCCCTATTCTATAAAACTCACTGTAAGATCGCCGTGGGTCAGCTTGTACATAAATCATCAGAGTTATCCCTTATGCAGAGATATGCAGAGTTACCACATCTCTGCAAACTTGGATTCATTTAAAGATTAAGTGCTCAGAAAATCTAACGAAGTGCTTGCAACAAAAATGAGTAGCTATTCCAACAAATATTCAGTCTCCACCCATCAGGGCTTACAAGACATTTCCATAATGATTAGACACTTATTCTCAATTATTTATATAAAATAAGAGCATCAGCCTTTTGAAAAAAAAATACTATGAACTCCTTTTATGAAATGCTGAGTAACACAACATTTCCCATTATTTCTAATGGATAAATGTGAAAGATTTTTGCTCCCTTCAAGAACAAGTTTTCTTTCATTTAAGAATGGATATTTTGGGTATCAGTCAATACAATCAATTTGGAAATGTGGATCACTATTTTTATAGCACAATTATACAACTTAGTATAATCTGATAAATCTTCTTTTAAAATGGTAAAAACTATTTGGTGACATAACAACCAACATTAGTACACTTCCATAAATGTTCACTACAAGCTACAGGATGTGTTTGCTAAAGTTTTTAAAAAGTGACATTTGCTTCTTTGTGTTGACAAAATAATCAATGATACAATGGCCTAAAATATGTAAAGAAATACATCATCTTGGTTTGGATTAATCTGGGCCAATATATGTCTAAAAGCAATTTAGGATAATTAATTACAGTGTATAAGCTTAATAATTGAAAAATCAATATATTGTACAATGTGATAAAGTGAAAAAGCACTTACTGTTTCCTGGACGGAGATTGAATTAGCATCTCCTCTGGCATATGATGAAGCTGTAAAATTAGTGTTCTATAAAAAAGTATTTAATATTGACAAATTACTAAAACATAATATTTTAATTTAGATAATATCTGTATTCAACCTATGCATGTAAATGGGGTCAAGAGTATTAACAGCATCCTACTTACAGTTTCCCCGCCTTGTCACTAATTTTCACCAAATAAATTAATGATCACAATCTATAAAGCCTTTCATGGCACAAGACCCCGTTATTTAAGGAACCATCTTTTTGCTGTAAGATTTGACAGAATCGGCATGCTTCAGATTCCATCTATCAAGGAATGCCATCTGATGGAACCAGGAGATGTGCTCCCTCTGACATGGCATCTTCCCGGTGGTATCGTTTCCCCCCAGAAACCAGAATAGCCCTGATCCTGCCCTCTTTTAGATGAGTCTCACAGAACCAGTTCATCCTCCAGACATTAGGCTAGAATACCATATGCTTGTTTTGTTGATTTAGTGTTTCTTGTTTCCCTGTTCAGCTATTTATTCTCCTTTTTTATTGTTTTGACTGTTGTTTGAAAAGCATTTTTTTGTGTTTTTAGCCTGTGTGCCTCCTAGAGCGGATGGCCTATAAATATGGCAAATAAACACCCTCAGCTAGGTTCTTGTATTGGAAACAATAGGAAAAAGTTACACAATGTCTGCTCCACAATTACTCCTTCATTTCTAAACAAAAACTGGTTTTGGGTGTAAACACACAGATTTGTCACAAATACATCTACAGTAGCCCTAGACCACAGAACCATCTGATTTACCACATTATCATCTCAAAACCGCCATGACAAGAAAAGTTAGAGCCTCTTCTTTGCACTTTCCACAATACAAATATTTGTAGAAAAGCAACATTGCAGAGGCAGTGAATTTTACCCAAAGGGAAGGAGTGACTCTTGTTATTTTGGGATGAGTCAATGTGATGATTATTACTGCTATTCTCATTATAATTCTTTCAAAAAGATGATAGTTATGAGCTCTCAAAAAAGTTCCATCAAATAACCATGAGCTGAGGTAAGCTTTAGGAAATAACAGATTTAAAGCTTCAGCATGCCCTGGGATATTTTGAATGCACCCAGATGTTGTGTTAAAGGGTTATTAAAATGTGGCTCCAAAGGGCTTCCTCTTAAAGGAATATGTGCTTTTCTGCCCAACAATGTATTCAGAAAGAAGTGTGGACACAATTGTAATGGATTAAAATCTGCCTCAAATCACAGACATAATGTTGCATTGGAGGATATAAAAGACATGTACAGATTTGCATGCCATTGTGAATATGGGCCATTTTATCTTGAGCTATTTTGATCAGAATTCCCTTCATCTTGGATCTCATGTGAAGCTTTGCTTCACACATTTAACCTTTCATACATTTGTACAGGGATGGGCAACCTGAAGCCCTCTGGATTTCAATGCTCATAAGCCCCATCCACTATCACTAATGGCAAGGGATCTGTACTCCATAGGATAGGAAATGAACAAATAGTTATAACATCTATATATTTTTAAAGTTACCTTTGTTAGAATTGGGTGAAAACTATAATCCAATTTGAATGGATGCAGCAGGCTGGTGCATGCCATTTTCACATTTTGTGGTTTTATGCAAGGGAAGTCCTTAACATCGGAGCTTGCAGAAATAAATAAATAAACATCTTTCTTGTGGCTTTTGGGAGAAATTTGTATGAAAATGTCACACACTGCAAAAATAGCCTCTAAGTAATTTGCAACATTTGGGGAGAGTGTAGGAAATAGGAAATTATTCTGAACAATAAGCGGTTTAGTAGAAGATATTCAGATTCAAATCAACATTTCCTTCAGTTGGGAATTACCAGAATTCAAGTCCAACACATCTGGAAGATTTATTTTGGGGGGAAATATTGGGTAAACACTTAAATGTAAACAAAAAACAACAAAAAGATATTTCAGCATTACATTGTTCTCACTGAGACGCTAACATGTATGTTACTAACAATGCCGCACAAAAGTTTCCATTGTAATGGATATCATGATAGGTAATTGATATTTTTCCTTCCCAATCTTTACATCAGCCAACTGTTAAAGCAAGTTATGGTACGTTGTACAAACGTATGGAATAAACTCCATTAAAGCAAAATAGGTTTCTTTTGCAAATTCCTTATTGGTAATTTTTCTTATACACATGCTGGTATTTTGCTGTTTTACCCCAAACTGTTATAAGTGGTGCTTGCTTCTTATATTACAGTACTGTATACAGAGTTTTGTATCATTTTGATGCATTCTGTGGTAAACATTCTGACAGGAAAAATATTTTATAGACACGGATGGAGTTGAATATAATTAATCTGCACATACGCTTAGTCTTTGGCTTATGATCGGTTTAACACTGATATAAAAATATGACAGCCTCAAAAAAAGGCAACGCACGACCCATCCTCAAAGTTATGACTATCACACCTCCCCCACAGTCATGTAATCACAATTTGGGTGCTTGGCAAATGCCTTGCATTTACCCTGGTTGCAGTCTTGCAGGCATGTGATTGCAATTTGTGACTTTCCAGCCAATTTCCGAGAAGGCAAGTCAGTTAGGGAAGCCAGATCTGTTTAACAACTGTAGCGATTTGTTTAAAAACCACAGTGAAAATGGTCATAAAATTGGGTCTGGTCACGTGATAACTTGATTTATGACTGCACCAACTTACAACAGACATTCCGGCCCCAATTGTGGTGGTAAGTTGAGAACTACCAGGATCTTGCCAAGTTCAATCTCGCTCGGTTTTTGAGTAAGAAATTCTCTTAATTTCGGAAGGGGCAAAAGATATGGAAACCCATTCTGATAATTGCTTTGCCTTGCTATTACCCCTAACTCGAATGAGAAAAGTTTCACCACTAATGGGCAAGCCCATAAAACTGTGCGTATCAGTACACGTACAGTGCAATGAGAAGGTAATTATGTGGCAATTTTTAGGGAGAAAGTTCAAGGTAAGATATTCAATTTACTTCAGTATATATATAAAAATCAAATACTACACAATCAGTACTCCCATCCTTTCTTTCTTTTCCTTTATTATCCTGACTAGGAGTTTAAAATACAAAAATGGCAATATTGTACATTTTGAACTTATTGTAAAATAAGTTTGTTTTTTTTCTGGTTTGGAGATGGCAAAAAGTGTGCCTGAAGGTCCAGATGGAGCTAGCTGTAATTGCTGATGTTAAATTGTTCCTTCTCCTTTCTTGAGGGCATTTACTGAACACAACATTATTGGGGCAGGGAAGGGCTGAACTCAGTCTGAGATAGTAATGTGTAATTCCACCTATGTTTATTATTGAATGTGTTTGCACAACATACCTTATGCAGTCTGATGTGAACTATATGTAAATAACTCACCTGGTGATCTTAGCTTGGTCTAAAGGAACTCAGAGCTGCCCAATTATTGGGACTAGTCATTATTGACCACTCCAATTCTCTTTGCTTCAAGAGTATAAAATAGCATCAGTTAATATATCTAAAAGTGCTTAAATTTAGCTGAGGCATTACCCCTTAGGATATAATCCTGACCAAAAAAAAAAGGCTTAAGTTATCTATGTCTGCAGCTTCTCTGTTGCACAGCAACCAAACTGTTTGGAGCAGGGGTCTTCAAACTTGGCGCCTTTACGACTTGTGGACTTCAACTCCCAGAATTCCTCAGCCAGACCCCTGGTTTGGAGTAACAGCTACACTGTGGATAAACCAGCAAACCAGTTTGCCATGCCATCTGATCCCAAAGTGATAGATAAGAGGGTAACCATGATTAGTTCTCAACATGGCTTAGCTTGTCATATGAATATACTCATTATCACCTCTGGAGTTAATGAAATAACTTGACATGAGAGTCAGCTGAATTGATTAAGGTTATATTTCATGCTGAACAGCACAGTGGAAAAAAGATCCAGGTTATGAGAAAAAGAGATTTGATACAAAATACTGTGGAATGTGGCATTTCCTAAATAGTATTCTGCTCAGAATACTCCTGCTTGTAAAGTTTGAAAAAAATGAAAACCAGTTTGGTCTAGTGGTTAAGGTAGGGGTTTTCAAACTTGGCCCTTTTATGACTTGTGGACTTCAACTCCCAGAATTCCTTCTTAATATTCTGAGCCAGTATGGGAAGCATAAAGGACGAAGGCTCTTTATGGAATCAGAAGCCTTACCAATATTATAGATTTATACTGAATCAGCCCAATTTGGAACAGAATGGAGAAAAAGTGATAGTAATTCAAATGCAAGAAGTAACAAAATTCTGGTCTTATTATATAATATGAATCATTAAATTATTATAAGGGGTACTGCTGCTGCTTTCCTGAGTTTTTAGATAACTGTGATCCTTATTTGATTACAGTCTTTCAAAGATTTAATGAGCATGGGAATCTATAATCTGCCTAGAGGAAAAGCTGTGCCAGACTGTACTTTATTGAAATCTGTAATGTACAAACATACGTACATGAAATGCAAACACAGCTGCTGTAACAAAACCTATAGGAATTTCATTTTTAAAAAAGATGAATTGAAAAGCAGATTAAATAATTCAACAGCTAAAATTAGTCAGGCTGTACAATTATTTCAATCCGTTTTTCTTTAATCAGAAAACATCCTTTTGACTTTAAAAGATGTTAATTTGCATACTATTAGAAGAAAAATCAGACCACTTCAATTAAAAAGAAAAAAGTAATAAACAGCATAATGGATTTCTGCACTGATGTATCCAGTGAGAACTGTTGCTGTACAATTTTGTGGACCACTGTAGCTCAATACAGAGCAATTTCACCCCAAAGAACCCCAGTTTATAAATCTAAACCGTGCTTTAATCCAGGATTCCAGAAAGCCAATTAAACATTGCATGTGTACATACTGATTTTCAGCTACAACCATTTATTTATACAAAGAATTATGTGAAGGGTAAAGTCAAGGATAAGCAGAGATATACAAGAAGATTAACTAACACATAGTATCTATGGTATTTCTGGTTTGCAAAGGAATATTACGGCAGCCAACATCCAGGGGAGACTTAATTATAAGGCTGCCCCACTTGAAAAGACAATTAAACATGCTTCATAAAGGGCTCTAAGTTGTAAATCAATTTAAATTATTTTATACCCAACTAGGGCTTTGATCCAACTGCTGCAACTGCCATCTTTCCTGTTTTCATACCCCCTCTACCCCCAAATGCCAAAAAGTTGGAATAGGGATGTTTATATAAAAATTCATGTTTTTATTTCCTTCCTGCTAGTTGGTTGTCATATTTTCTTTTACCATTTGTCACCTGGATCTCTTTTATTAAGCTCCCTTCTAGAGAAGTCAGGTTTAAACCACGGACAGATGCTTCTTTAAAAATTAATTTTTAAAAAGTTTTTCTTTTCCATTCCCCTTTTTATTTTTAATGCCCAAACCAAGGTAGTAATTTTAAATTACTAGCATGCTTACGTGTTATCATGTTTGTGACAATAATCTTGTCTTTTTTTATACCCACCTATCTATAGCTGAAAGACTGGCTAGTTGTAGTTTAGGAACAGCTACTATTAAAAACCTCCAATCAAGTCTGGAGGGACAGAGATTGTAAAACAGGAAATGGCAATATAAGAAAAACTGATGGATCAGAGAGACAGCTGTCAGACTTCTTCCAGTCAAACCTCTTCCCATGTGTTCTGTTTCTCGCGTTGGTAGGCATTGAACGAGGCAAAGTAACAAACTTCTTTATTCAGCTTCAACAGAACAGCAAACAAAATGGCTCCACCCCCTTTTATACCTTTTGCAAGGGACAGCGTCAGCCAATGAATGCAACATATTTTCCTGCTCCTGCGCATGCTCAGTAAGCCGGAGACACCCTGTCTGGCCCGGGCAGGCCACGTGGTCTGCCCGGGTCTCAGTGCAGCTTCCTACACCTGCTCTGTCAATCAGAGCCCAGGACATAACACCATGGTTATTTAAGATAGCTACAAGCGCTCAATCCATAAGAAATTAAAGCGTTTTTTGAAAGCTTGGATGAGCCCAGCCAATAGTATGTAATAGAAGATAATGAAGTTTTCCAGCATTTTCAAAGAACCTCCACATTTTCCTTGCTTTTCAGCTGAGAAAATCCAATCAAGGAAACCTAAAAATTTGAACATGACCCAATAACCCAGGGGTCTTCAAACTTGGCCCTTTTATGACTTGCGGACTTCAACTCCCAGAATTCCTCAGCCAGGCACGCTGGCTGAGGAATTCTGGGAGTTGAAGTCCGCAAGTCATAAAAGGGCCAAGTTTGAAGACCCCTGCAATAACATGTTGCAAATAAAAAATGAACGTTTCTCTCTCTTTTTGTCAGTCTTCTTATGGCTTCTTCAAACACTAACAACAACAAAAGCAATCCTGCTTAAGTTAATAAATTGGCAAAAATTAAATTTTCCTCTCATCTCAAACTGCAGTTAACATGTCAGTTTGAGCTCTTAAATTTTTTCTCTCTGACATATTCTCCGCAAGTCTGTATTTTGTTTTAGATGGAGAATTTGCCATCACGGTTTACCTAATTAAAATGAATTACAGGGAGAGAGAATATTGTATCGTTCATTCTTTGGTTTTGTTATTATGGAAAGCAGACAGCTTTTCTGGAGGGAAGTCTTTGTAATTGAAGGCAAGTGGAAGAAAGCTTTTGTTCAGTGGTAATCTTTGAAGATTATTTTTGTAAAGTTTAATATATATTTTTTCTGCAGAAAGGAGGTAAAATACTACTTCTTACCGAGTGTAGTCCGGCTGATGGTGTTTGGCTGAAAGCATTTCCTATTGGGATGAAGCTGCCTGTAAAAAGATAAAACTGTGAATCTTTTGCTTGTTATCCCATTAAATCAATGCTTTTATTTAAAAAAAAAAAACACTTGAGGGTAAGCCATTACACAAAATCTTAAATAAAAACCATCTGCTTTTACTCCCAGCTCTACCTACTTCAGTCAGGAACAGTTGGAGAGTTTATCTAATGGACCTGACACAAGGTTAGCTAATCCGGTATTACCCTTCAAATGATTTGGGGAAATGGCACAAGAAAATCTCCACGTAGTATTACTTAAAAATATCACTACTTTTCCTGGCTGCTGAATTCATCAGTCACCGTTTTTTGTTTGGTCTAGTAGGAATTTATTCTACATCCCCATTTCAAGATTGCACCGAAGCACTTGTTTTATCTTAAAGAACAGGTATAAGCAGTTCAATATATTCCCTTTGATCATACGACATCCTGCCTCCATTCGTCTTGCTCTTTAATTCCAGCCACGTAGTGTACATTGCTCATTTTATAGCCTTTTGCATTTATTATTCTAGTGGCTATTCAGCTAGCAAACCTTTTCAATAAGGCAGGCTTTTTTTTTTGCAACTGGCAAGTATACATCTCTAAGGAAGGAGGCCCATTTAAAGAAGCATTTTTTTAAAATGAAGAATCTGTTGTCCCAAAATAATTTCCAAAGGTCACTTTGTGAGACCCTGAGAAACTATTGTGTAGTGATTCGTGTTGACACAGGACTGTCAGAGAACCAGATTCAGTGCCCTGAGGAGAATAGATAGGTTAATCTCAGTAGTGGAGATAATAATGGGACCAAAAAATTTAAAATTACACATATGGTCAGGAGCAACATCCCCCAATCTGGTGTCCTCCACATTGCTTATTTGCAATCATGAATGTGCCTCACACGATTCTAACAAGCCAATCGTGTGTCTCAAAAGTGCTTTTTCCAAAAGGCAACTGGACTTTCTTGGTTTTTTTTTTCTTCATTTGAAAAGGTTTCGCTGCTCATCCCTAGAAGCGTCTTCAGTTCTCTGAAGAAGCTTCTTGGATGACAAGAGAAACATTTTCAAAGGAAAAAAACCCAAGAAAGTCCAGTTGCCTTTTGGAAAAAGCACCTTTGAGGTAAACATTACCTGGATGACTGAGAATCTCCATAGTCATAGACATTCAATAAAATATTGAAATTCACTATTCGACTTTCTTCCCCAAAGCCCGCTCAAAAGAATACTATTTTGACAGTCTTCCTATATATCAGCAGGGAGGGGTCTTTGGGAAAGTGTCATTCTCTAGGCCAAGGCTTTTCAACCAGTGGTACGGGTACCACCTGTGGTACATTGGCACCTGGCAGGTGGTACGCGACCATCTTAGAAAAGTTGTAGCGGGGGAAAGGAATGAGCTGAACCAGTGGCAGCACTGCACAAGCCTGAGCGAGAGATGGCTGGAGCTGCAGGGCTATCAGGGCTCAGCGGAAGCGCCAGGATCAGTGCCACTTTTCAGCTGATCGGCACTTCTTCGGGGCTGTCAGGGCTCAGTGGAAGCGCCAGGATCAGCGCCAACTTCCAGCTGGAGCTCGGCACTGATCCTGGTGCTTCTGCTGAGCCCTGAAGAAGCACCAATCAGCTGGAAAACAGCACTGATCCTGGCACTTCTGCTGAGCCCAGAAGAAGTGTCGATCAGCTGGAATGTTGCAGCATCTCCAGGGTCTTGTGATTTACATTCAGATGCTTGGCAACAGATTCATATTTATGATGGTCACAGTATCCCAGGGTCATGTGAAGTGACCAAAACCTGCTGCAACCACACAGCAGATGGGGGGGAATAAAACCGAACACCCTCCCACCCACCCCCGCTGCCAATCCTCAACAGAAATGCTCACAACAATGAAAACCTTGGACAGGCAGGTGGGCAGGCAGGTGTCTTGCTCGGCTGTGGCTTGGGGGGACTTTTTTCAGTGCCATTGTAACTTCGAACAGTCACTAAGCGAACTGTTGTAAGTCGAGGACTACCTGTACTTTATCACTTTTTTCCTTTTTTTTTTTTGGGTCATCAAGTTTTTGACACCTTGCTAGGCGACTGGTAGTACTCGGATATTGCCATATCCTAAAAGTGGTACAATGGGTGAAAAGGTTGAAAAGCCCTGCTCTAGGCATCCAGCTCTCTCTCTCAAGAAGTGAGAACTCACAAAGACTCCCTCGTGCAAGCAGATAGTTTAAAAGGTAGTGGAGATGCAAGCCATACTGTATAAGTTTTATGGGTAAAAACCAGCAACTTGAACTTGGCCTGGAATTTTGCTGGCAATTTGTTCAGATCCCACAGCAAAGGTTGCTTATCTGTTTACAGGTAAGAACCATCTTTCATGCTAGCTGCTACTTCTGGGTTATTTTTCAAGGATGTTTAAAGTACTGCAGTAGTTTAACAAGAGGGTAACAAAGGCATGAGCCACAGTCTCAAGGGCCTCTTGGTCCAGGAAAGGTCACAATCGCAGAATAGCAGAACTTGGATCATTACGTCTCTGACATTTTGCTTTAATTAAAAACTCTAAACAATCATTTCTTTAAACTGGGCCTTAGTGGTTAGTTCTAAAATAAAACCTAATAGCAACAGAAATAAGTTAATGTAAAGTCGTGGGACTTAAAAGTTCAGCACATTCAGATAGCATTTGGTTGGGAAAGATACAATAAGGCTAACAATTAAAATAATCAAATAACTAAACACTTTAATACTAATCAGTATCCAACAGATCAAAGAGAAAATGTAATAAACAGCGTTGCCTGAACATGAAGGCCAGGAGTTTTAATCTGTAACCAATGGAAAGTGCCGCTTGGGGCCTCATTCTAGATCAGACATGTCAAACACAAGGCCCGGGGGCCGGATGGGGCCTGTGAAGTGGTTTCATGTGGCCCGCAAAGCCATCCTGGAAACAGTGAGGGAATGGCCCCCTCTGCCTTGGCCCTGGCCCAGGCCAGCTGAGAGCCAATGTACAATATTGTGGTGGCCATCTATGCTGAAACGTATTCAGTCTTAGCTCCATAAGCCCCCCCCCCGCATGGCCTGAGGAACAGTGAAGCTCCTCCAGTGGACCATGCCTTGGCACTTGCCCTGGTCCCATCCCCTTCTGCCAGAGACCCTCAGATCTATCCCACTCCTGCCCAGGCCCCCACAGGCACCCTTGATGCAAACAATGTAGAGCTGGCCACACCCACCCAGTAGGCCACACCCACTCCATCCATGCCCACCCAGTAGGCCACACCCACCGTGGCCACACCCACACGGCCCCCCGATGCGGCCCTCAATGAAATTGAGTTTGACACCCCTGTTCTATCTAGATGAATACAACACCAGCCTGTTGTAATGGCTGTAGTCCAGAGTCAGGCCAGCTTTCAGGATATCATGCCCTTGTTCATGATGGTCTTTTCCTCAAGCACAATTCGCAGTTTTAGCAAGTAGGCAGCTCAGATGCAACTGAGTGTATATTACAATGGTGTGTTATTAAGTGGGTATTATGAAACAAAACATAAAATCCTGGTTTTAAAAATAGAAACTACTGATTTTAAAAAATCTGCAAACAAAGCAAGGCAAAACCTCAGATGAATTTATTTTAAAGTAGTTTCCCATTCATTCGAATCTACATTCAGGTAGCTCCAGATTCAGTAATTCAATATTTGCTAACATCTGTATGGGCCTCATTCAATTAAACGGTGTGGGTGATATCAGCTCATTAGTTACCTGGTTTCTCAACTGGTAGGAGTTTTTAGGTTGAAATTATTCAGGTGCACTGGCAGAAATCCATGGGAAAGCTTGCAAACTCTCCTGCATTTTGCTTACCGAAGCCAATGGTATTAGTCACACTCATAAGAAATTTCCTCACAAATATTTTAAGATATATATACTGGAAGATATATATGTAATTACATGGCATCACCTCAAAGAATTAACTTGCCCACAGACTTACCAATTCATCATGGGAGTAGCCTCAACATTAGTAAGGCAATATGTGTTCTAGATATTAGGTTTTCTATCATACATGTTGCTTGATGTAGTCTTCAAATAAGTGTGTATGATTTGATAACAATTATTTATACCGCACTGTGATATAGTAAAGCATGGCACAGGCTGTGTTTCTGGGCCTACAGCATGGTTCTTGTCAAGAATTTTACATTATTGTATCTGCTTATCTCAGGCCAATATTAAGCAGACTATTTCTCAATGAAAATATATAAATATGGGGAAAAGATTGGGAAAGACTAGATAATTATGTGGGACAGTGGAATGAAAACTTCAAACAGAAGCAAGACTATGGCTTCTTGAATTTAAAATTGCAGAAAGAATAAATAATATCAGAAAGATATATTCAGCATCTAATAGGAATGGGTAACTGTTTTATGGCCTTCTATTTTTTTCGGCCTCCTCGGGATGTTGGCCATAGTAGTGACATCTCATGAGAGAATGGAGCAGGAATCCTATTTACCAACACGCTTGAAAAAATTGAATTAGCAGAAGAATCTGGTCATTCCTTACCTGATCAGTGTATTAGGGAAGCTAAAACAGATATTTGGAAAACACCACAAACTCACCAACATGCTGAAACTGGAATGGGATAATTCGCCATGGCCATCTTGCTGTGGCCAACTCTCTGCGGGACAATTCCTTGTGGGATAGCTCAATGTGATAAATGTTATCCGCCATTATTTTCATTTTTTTCAATGGAAATAATGTCAAAAAACAGTGGTAGGTAACATTTTATCATGTTGAGTTATCCCACACAGAATTGTCTGTGGCAAGTTGTCCCGCAGCGAGTGGGCCACAGCGAGTTGTCCCGTGGCAAGTTGGCTGCGGCGAGATGACTGTGGCGAGTTGTCCTAGACCCCAATGAAACAGAGGCTTGTCCACACTAAAGATTCTACACCAAAACATAAGAAGAATAATGTAGTGTATGCACTACAGTGAGATAAGGTGTGTTTAGAGCTCTGCACTGGAGAAACCAAGCAGCCTGTACACAAGAGGAGAAGCAACGCCATAGGAC